GAGATTTTGCAATGGCACTTAAGAGGCTTTCACTGAAATTCTCCTTTTTACAGTGTGCATTTTGTACTTGCATGTACTTACCCATCTGCAGGGAAATTGCCCTTTTTAATTCTGTAGGAAAATTCATATATATCCAAAGGCTCTTCCAGGATTTTTAGAATATTGCTGTAGCAAGATGAAAGGGCATTTTTAAAAAAAGTTTATTATGCCAGCCAGGCAGGATGATGCACCCCTGTAATCCCAGTAGTTCAGGAGGCTGAGGCAAGAGGATCACAAGTTCAAAGCCAGCCTCAGCAATTTAGCAAGGCTCTAACAATTTAGCAAGATCCCATCTCAAAAAGGATTGGGGATGTAGCTCAGTGGTTAAGTGCCCTGAGGTTCAATTCCTGATACCAAAAAAAAAAGAAATTTTAAAATTCCAAACTAACTATAAACATATTAATCTAACCTTCAGAATCTGATTTTCAAAAAGCATTTAAGATTATCATAATTAGAACTTCACAAGTTGACCTTTCCCTGAGAACCTTATTATACACATAGTTAGAAGTATCTCTAGTTTCTAAGACAGATTTCTTTTCGTTTTCTTTCTTTCTTTTGGTACCAGGGAATGAATTCAGGGGCACTCGACCACTGAGCCACATCCTCATCCTCAGCCCTATTTTGGTTTTTTGTGTTTTTTTTTTTTTTGCTACTGGGAATTGAACTCAGGGGGCACTCAACCATTGAGCCACATCCCCAGCCCTATTTTGTATTTTATTTAGAGACAGGGTCTCACTGAGTTGCTCAGCACCTCACCATTGCTGAGGCTGGCTTTGAACTCGAGATCCTTCTGTCTCAGCCTCCTGAGCCACTAGGATTACAGGTGTGCACCACCGCACCGGGCTCTAAGACAGATTTTCTAAAACATCAAACTCCTTTTTTTTCTTAGTGTAAGAATTGTATTGCTGTATTGCTGGCCTCAGAATTTTATATAATGGAAAACCAGCGTCTGCATACATGAGTACTAAGTTTGCAAGCTTTTTTCGTTTTAAGTAGAATTTTAAATACTTGTTAAAGTGAAAATGTACAGTAGCATTTACTGGATTTTGCAGTTCACAAAAACCCTTTTCACATTCATTATTGCTTGCTTGCTTTTTTGGTGCAAGGCAAACCTGTGCCTCACACATGCTGGCACACTTTACCATTGAGTTAAATTCTCAACCCTCATTATCACATTTCTTAAGCTTCACAACAACCTGAGTTAATATTGAGTACYTATTGTCTGACAGATTCTATGCTGAGCCTTAATGTGGATTGTTTAGTTTTAATCTTCATAGCAGTGTTGCTAGTGGGTATTTTTCTTATTCCTATTTATGAGTCAACTGTGGCTTAGAGAGGTTAAGAAGTTTGTGCCTTATAGCTAGGAAGTGAAGGAGTCAGGGATTGAGTCCTTGCTCTTAACCACTAGCATATATCCATGTCATCTGTATTTTTTTTTAATAACTTTTAAAATTTATTTTATGTGGTGCTGAGGATCGAACTCAGGCCTTGCACGTGTGAGGCAAGTGCTCTACCACTGAGCCATAACCCCAGCCCTCATCTGTATTTTTACAGATTAAACAAACCACCCCTTGGAAATATTTGGAGACTTTTCCCAAGTTGCTTAATTAGTATGTGATGGAGTCAGGACCAGAATCCCTGAATCCTCCAAGTGCCAAGGCAGTGCTTTCTCCCAACAGGCCCCTGGTCAGCAACCCTGGTTTCCTCAGTCCACTGCTGGAACTTGCCCTAACAGCAACAGAACCAGAAAGGTACGAGTCAAGATTTTAGTAGCAGCATTTTAACTTGATATAAATGACCCAGCTGAATTAGCACTAAATTAGGACAGTACATATCTAGAAACTGAACTAGTACTCGATATCCAAACCACATTCATGTTCTCCACACATTGATTTCTAGGTGGAGCCAGTCATCTGGACCATTTACTCAGCTTTCTTTACTACTTTTCTAACCACAGTGTCTATTTTTTTCCCTTGAGAAATACGTGCATCTTTTTGATGAATGATCTACCCAGAAGCCAGGAGTCCCTCCTACAATTCAAATTATAACCAGCAGTAGCTGCTATTTATTGTCTGTTTTCTGCTATCCAGAGTATTATGTTAAATACTTAGTATTTTACAAATTTATGATGATGTTGTTGTCATACAAAGAGATACCTACCCAGGCATTTGCCAGATCATTCTCTTGTCATACTGCTTAAAGAAACGGAACATTAGAATTTCAGTTTGAGTGTCTGGATACCCTTCTCCAACTGTGTTTCCTCCCAACTCCTGAGAGATAACTACTATCTTAAGTTTGGTGATTCTTATTCCCATGCTTCTAATTTTAATGTGTTTTTAGGCTTCATGAAAATTGTATTTTATTACGTATAATCTCTACCACTTGTATTTTTTTATTCTTATGTTTATAAGAGTTATCCACATTGATAAGTATACCTCTGGTAGTTTTTAAATTTTTATTACTTTTTAATTTTTTTCATGAAATAAGTGTACTACTGTTTATCTATTTTCTTCCTTTTTTAAAAATTTTTTTAATATTTATTTTTTAGTATTTGGCGGACACATCTTTGTTTGTATGTGGTGCTGAGGATAGAACCTGGGCCGCACGCATGCCAGGCGAGCGCGCTACCGCTTGAGCCACATCCCCAGCCCTATTTTCTTCCTTTTTTGAAAATATTTTTAAAATTTTTTTCAGTTGTAGTTGGACACAATGACTTTATTTCACTCATTTATTTATTTTTATGTGGTGCTGAGGATTGAACCCAGCGCCTCGCATGTGCTAGGCGAGYGGTCTACCATTGAGCCATAACCCCAGCCCCCATTTTCTTCTTATTGGAACAGTATTGCTATGAGCATTCTTGTACACAGACTTATCTGGGGTACATATATGTAAGAGTAGAATTACTCTGTCATAGGAGATATATATCCAGATTCACAAGATATTGCCAAATTGTTGACTGTAGTGATTGATTCAATGTGCACTCTGTTGAGCAGTGTCTGAGTTCTCATTTCTCTGCATCCTAAATAGTAATTGGTATTATCAGAATTTACAATTCTTGCTATTTATTGGATGTTAAATATTAGTCTTATGCTTTTTTACATTATTTTTTTCTTATTTGGTACAAATCTACAATGTCAGGCTAGAAGTGTAAACCTAAGAGAACTTGCTCAAGGCCATGCAACCAGAAGAGGGCTGACCCTGGATTAAATGATAATTCTGCCAGTACCAAAGCCAGTGCCTGTTCTTCTGCATCTTCTTATCTGGAGATCACAGCATTGATGCTAATAGTGTCAGCTTGGTAATTTAAGGACTGATTATGGAGTTTTGTGCATTTTCTCCTTTTTCTTTTCTTCATTTGTTTCTTGAGAACTTCCATCAAAATATAGAAACATTGTGAAAAGAAAAGCCAGCCTTCCTGTTTTCAGTAAACTTGATCTCTTTGCTCTACTACTCTACCTTTGATTTTTAGTAGATCCACCCCCACCTGTTTTCCTTTTTCCTCTCTAGCTTCTCCATATGTGAGAAAACATGCTACCTTCTGAATCTGACTTATTTTGCTTCTTAACATGATAGTCTCTAGGAAATCTGGAATTTTAAAAAATATTTTTTGTCAATGGACCTTTATTTTTTCTATTTTTATTTATATGCAATGCTGATAATCAAACCCAATGCCTCACACATGCAGACATGTACTCTACCACAACCCGAGCCCAGAAATGTGGATATTTTTAAGAGTGCCTGAACCTTTAGGTAGAAGGAGAGGATATGTTCAGATTCTGAGTAGAGAAGATTTGGAATTGAATTGAAGCTTAACTGAAAAGGAATAGTATTAATTTAAAAAGACTGTAAAGTTGGGTAGCAAGCTACTTCTAGTGGTTGTGAATATGTGACTGCTTTGTTACTAGAAAAGGGCAAGGAGCACTTGCGAGGCTATTTCTTCTATGTTCTTTTTCTTCACTAGATCACTCACTTCAGACAATCTGGGACATGAATCTTGACTCGGTTCTAAACAATACTACTGAACTAAAGACTGGTTCTGAGAATATCATTTGGTGGTTTTCTGTAGATATTCAGTTAGCAAAAAAGAGATATTCTCTCAAAGCCAATTCATTAGCCATTATAAGAAAGGGGGAAAAAATAAACCAAATGAAGAACACATTTTCCCAGTTTTATCTCTGCACTGAGTAGTGCAAGCAGGACCAATAACAAGGGTTATTATATCAGGATCTTAGGATATTTCTAGTCAAGGTGACATTTTAGAGAGATGCCAACCATTGGAATTTCATCTCCCAGTCCCTAGTTTGTGAGGTCTTTACCAGAAAGTTACTGTTTAGAGAGTTTCACTATTTGTTTTGGACAGGGATTTTTTTTTATCCTAATTGAATTAGTTATTAAAGTTTTATGGGAGAGCTCATAGAGGTATACATCACTGTAGATTTATAAAAACAACATTACATCCTATTTTTACCAATCTAGACCAAATCCCTGAGAATTCACATCACAAATGTAATAATGCCTCAGCTCAAAATAGTAAATATTTTCTTTTCTTTTCACAAGTAACTTGGCAAGTTCCAAAAAGATCCCTCAATGACAGTTATTAATTATGGAGAGCATTCGGAATTGAAAATTAAAAGAAGTGTAATGGAGGCCATGTTGATCTTATTGTCTCAAAAATGCCTAATAGTAATCAGATAATACCTATCTCATAGGGAATTTAGAAGCATAATTTTTATAAGACACTTTTAGTTCCTTATAGAAAACCATAGTTTAAAATATTATTAGTTTCGTACTATATGGTCCTGTTTATTATAACACTGACATTTAAACATTTTTGACTAACATTGTATATGTCAGTTTGATCTCTCCTTTTTAAGTTCATCTTGTAGCAGTGTCAGTGATGATTAACAACACTTTCAAGCCCACACATTTTGCTTTAAGTAATGTCTTTTCTTCCCTTTCAGGTAACAAATATACTCTAGAGACTCGACCCAACCAAGAAGGCATCGATGTAAGACAAGAGCTACTGAAGTTCCATTCTACTTATTATTCCTCCAACTTAATGGCTATTTGTGTTTTGGGCCGAGGTAAGAATTCTTTAAAATTTTCACATAATCGGGTAATCTAAGTTTTTTTTTTCTCCTCCTTCAACTTTTTTCAAAGTATTAAAAGAAGGATATAAGATATAGGTGTTTATCTGTTCATCTGTTCAATCTTTTTTTTTTTTTTTTTTTAAATACTGGTGATTGAACCCAGGATCACTTTACCACTGGGCTACATTCTCAGTTTTTAAAATTTTATTTATTTGGTGCCAGGAATTGAACCTAGGGGCTCTTAACCACTAAGCCATATCCCCAGCCCTCTTTTTATTCTTCTATTTTGCGACAGGGTCTCACAGATTTGCTTAGGCTTCAATAAATTGCTAAGGCTGGCTTTGAACTTGATATCCCCTACCTCTGCCTTCTGAGCCTCAGGGATTACCGGTGTGTGCCACCATGTCCAGCTGCTCCAGGTCTTTTAAAAATGATCTACTTATTGCAGAATACATGGATGAGAATTTTTATTTATTTATTTATTATTTATTATTGTTTTTGGTTATACATGGACACAATATCTTTATTTTGTTTGTTTATTTTTATGTGGTGCTGAGGATTGAACCCAGGGTCTCTCACATGCGAGGCAAGCTTTCTACCACTGAGCCACAACCCCAGCCCCATGCATGAGAATTTTTAATTCATTGTATTCCAAAAACAAGTTTATGTGGCTTAAATGGAGACCTGAAGAAACAAATTATCAGTAGCTAGTCTCACTAAGTATGTGTAGGGAAAAGAAGTTTGAAGAAAGATGGACAGACTTGACTTTTTTTTTTTAATTAACGTTTTAAAAATTATTTTTATTTTATTTATTTATTTTTATGTGGTGCTAAGGATCAAACCAGCGCCTCATACATCCTAGGCAAGCACTCTGCAATTGAGTTATAGCCACAGCCCCAAATTTGACTTTTAACAATTTATTAATCTAGAAACAAAATTTAAAAAGCAGATGATGATGCACTGAAAAAAACTATCTGTAAACAACAAAGGTTTGATTTTTGTTTTTGTTTTGTTTTTTGTTTTTATGGTGCTGAGAATCAAACCCAGGGCCTCATAAGTACTAGGGAAACACTCTTTCACTAAGTCAGGTCCATAGCACTCAAAGATTGAATCTTTAATATGTGTTTTCTTTCTAGAGCTTAGTAATTCTTGGGGCTGGGTTGTAGCTCAGTGGTGTATGTGCTTAAGGATATGCAAGATCCTGTGTTCAACACCAAAATAATAGTAGTAATAATAGTAGGAGGAGGAGTAGTAATATGTGTGTGAGGGAAAAAATTATCCCACATAGAAAGGTATAAGACAAAAAGTAAGTTCTTCCTCTTTATCCCCTGACAGCTATGCCCTTTCCTCAAAGATCGTCAACTTAAGGTTTTTGTTGTTTTATTACTTTTTTTTTTTTCTTTTTTTGGTATCAGGGTTTGAACTCAGGGATTCTTGACCATTGAGCCACATCCCCAGCCCTATTTTGTATTTTATTTAGAGACAGGGTCTCACTGAGTTACTTAGCACCATGCAATTGCTAAGGCTGGTTTTGAACTCTCAATTCTCCTTTGTCAGCCTTCCAAGCCTCTGGGGATTACAGGCGTGGGCCACCATGCCTGGCTTGTTGTTTTACTTCTAAACGTAGAATTTTGTTAATATGCTTGTGTGTGTTTGTTCAAAACATTTAAAAATGAGATTATACTACAATTTGCAGTTTTCACTTAATAGCACATGTAGATTGATTCTGTGGGTATGTGTGTGTGTGTATAGGTTTGTAAACTTTATAAGTAAAACCCTTTATAAAAGAATAATGTAGGTAAAAATATAAAAGTAACTCATTTAGGTGGCTATATAATTTTATCAACAGTTAAAAGTCGTTGAGTTACTTTGGCACATTATGATATAAAATCTTACAGATCTTGGAAGAGAGTTCTGATCATCTTACCCGAGAGCCTTATTTTATGGAGTAGTTAAGTTTGTGCAAGTATTTTGTTGTCATGATTGGTAAAGCTGGGGTTAGAAGCAAGTGCCCTGATCCCTCAACTAGGATTCTTTTCATCATTTTATAGTATTTTCCCCCAAATCAAATACTTATTAAACTTTAACATTTGACTTTTAACAGTGAGTTTGGACTGTATTTATAAGGTAAATGTTATACCTTATACTCTGCCAGTATTGGGAATCATAGTTTTATTTCCAAATAAAGCTAAATTTTCTATTACTGTTTCTAATACATGTTTTAAGTTTATTGCAAGATAATATTTGTGAGTTAGTATTAATATTATGACTGAGAATATTTTAATGTTTAAATTTTTATACCATGAAAAGGTAGATATGTGTGAAGTGTAATCAATTAGTATTGTTTCGCAACTTTAGAATATACATAGGCACTGATAGGATTTAATTGAGTGTTTCATCTTTATCAGATGCCTTTTTTTGTTTGTTTTTATTAACAGATTTTCCTCCTTGAAAAGCCCCTAGACTTTTCAGGAAACATAAGGTCTTAAATACTATTTGCTTTGTATTATGATTAATTAAACTGTTTCAATGTATTTTTTTTATAGAATCTTTAGATGACTTAACTAATCTTGTGGTAAAGTTATTTTCTGAAGTAGAGAATAAAAATGTCCCATTGCCAGAATTTCCTGAGCACCCTTTCCAAGAAGAACATCTTAAAGTAAGTCCATGTATTATTGGTATTTTTTTTAAATTTGTGAACATATATATCTAGTTTATAAGAAAATAGAGGTTTCATTACTTAATGTAGTTTTTTAAAAAATATTTATTTTCTAGTTGTAGTTGGACACAATATCTTTATTTTATATATTTATTTTTATGTGGTGCTGAGGATCGAACCCAGGGCCTCACACATGCTAGACAAATGCTCTACTGCTGAGCCACAACCCTAGCCTCTTACGTAGGTTTTTTTTTTTTTTCATATTTTTTTAGTTGTAGTTGGACACAATACCTTTATTTTTATTTGTTTTTATTTTTCATGGTGCTAAGGATCAAACCCAGCGCCTTGAATGTGCTAGGTGAGCACTCTACCACTAAGCCACAGCCTCAGCCCCTTAATTTAGTTTTTAATATTTGTCAGGTTAGCTGAGTGTGGTGGTGACACATGCCTATATTCCCATCAGCTCAGGAGGCCAAGGCAGGACGATTGTAAGTTCAAAGCCTGCCTCATCAATTTAGCAAGGCTCTAAGCAGCTTAATGAGACCTTGTCTCAAAAAAAATTTTTTTTAAAGGGCTGGGGATGTGGCTTAATGGATAAGCACCCCTGGGTTCAGTACCTGGCACCTGTTCCCACCTCCCCAGAAAAATATATATTTGTCAGAATAATCAAATCAATTTTATATTTATTAGGAGTGTGTATCACCATAAAAATACCAATATGTTCTGATCTCTGCATGCTAAAAGCATTTTTGATGTCTGTAGCCTTAGCAAGGCTATGAACGTATTATATACTACCAGGAGGCAAGCATCCCAAACTATCTAGCTTTAAGGTCCTGGGGTTCTGGGATAGCTTACCCACTATAATGAAATTCTGCTGAGAACCTGATTCATTTATTTCTTAGTGACCAATTCTTTGTGGTCTGGCAATCAGTTTTGCTCCTAAATTTGGGATTCTTCCATGAAAATCAGTATTCTTCATAACTTGTAAATATTTTATTCAGTAGGAATTGAATATAGTGCATCTTTTGTGATTCTTTTGTTTTTTGTTTTTTCCCCAGCAACTTTATAAAATAGTGCCCATTAAGGATATTAGGAATCTTTATGTAACATTTCCCATACCTGACCTTCAGAAATACTATAAATCAAATCCTGGTCATTATCTTGGTCATCTGATTGGGCATGAAGGTCCTGGAAGTCTGTTATCAGAACTTAAATCAAAGGGTAAGTATCTTGGGTGGCACTTTCTGAGTGAAAGTGATTGTTAATGTGCTTTRTTTTTTAGTTTGGGGACTTTTTTTTTCATAATTTTATTTTATCTTTAGTATTGAGCCATGAAGATTAGAAATTTCAAAAGATACCATCTAGCATGTTTTTTATTTTTGTTTTTGTTTTGTGATGCTGGGGATCAAACCCATAATCTCATGTGTGCTTGCTAGTCAAGTGTTCTCGCTCTGAAGTATACCCCCAGCCATGTTTTGAATAAGAAAAAGGTTAAAAATAACAGCCTATATAGGATATTCTTTACCATCTTGGTGAAATGTCAGTACATAATATTTATTTGCCTACTGTAATCCATCAGATCAGAAGGGTGTAAAATCTAGATAATAGATGATCTCCAGGGATCCTCCCATCTCACACGATTTTCTTTCACATAACATTTAAAGCACACTAGTCATAATTTCTTTCTTTTTTTTGTTTTTTTAAAGAGAGAGTGAGAGAGAGAAGAGAGAGAGATAATTTTAATATTTATTTTTTAGTTTTTCAGCGGACACAACATCTTTGTTTGTATGTGGTGCTGARGATCGAACCCGGGCCGCACGCATGCCAGGCGAGCGAGATACCGCTTGAGCCACATCCCCAGCCCAGTCATAATTTCTTAATTGGAAATTAATTTGAAGAATATTTAGGAAGGCTTCTATCCCATAAATCCCTTAATCCCTTTTCTAAACTGATTTTTGCCCCCTGCAATAGGTTCCCTAATCTCCTGGAACATAGACTATAAAATGAAATTTTAAAAAATCTTTTGCCTTGAAAGAAACCACAAATGAATTCATATTAATTTTCTTTGAATGTTGCAGGCTGGGTAAATACCCTGGTTGGTGGACAGAAGGAAGGAGCTCGAGGTTTTATGTTTTTTATCATTAATGTGGACTTAACTGAGGAAGGATTATGTAAGTGTTGGTTGACCTTGGTTTTGAATGAAAATTGAATTTTTATGATTTTTCTTTATTTCTTTATACTGTGGATCTGTTTTATGTGGAAAAGCTATAAACACTTTAATTCATACAACTTATTCATGTATTTTTCACGTGTTTCTTGGCATTTGTTTTGTGAATGAGTTTTCCCCCTTAACAATTGATCATTATGTTGCACTTGTAAAATGTGTACTTGGCTTTTCATTTGCTCATTTCCTACCCCAAACCCTTCTGTCGCATATCCCTGAGCCCAGAGGGCCATGTGTGGGTCACCTAAAAACAGTCAGGGAGGTGAGGACTCTGTTTTCTAAGAGGAACCATCTTTCACTTACCTGACTTTCCCTTAGAAGTGAGCTCACTGCTTTGAAGGATTCAAGGACTGAATGGTTTTTAAGTGTGCCCCTTTTTTCCAGTACATGTTGAAGATATAATTTTGCACATGTTTCAATACATTCAGAAGTTACGTGCAGAAGGACCTCAAGAATGGGTTTTCCAAGAGTGCAAGGTACTTTTGTTTCACCAAAATTTTTCTTAAGGAATCTATTTTTCAAAAACAAATATATGTGAATTAATTTAAATTTAAGGCCCATTTAAAGTTTTTTTTCCTCATTAAAGTCTAAAATTTTGCAATGCATTGTAGTATTAGTTAAGACTTAGTTGCACTAGTCTGATTTGCTACATGGGCACAATTAAGGGTAAGGCATTATGTGGCCTTCTTTAGGAGGGAAAAGGAAAGAAAATGGGTTGCTTTTCTATCCCTTAGAAGAAAACCTACAGTTCGTTAAGCTGGTATTTTTCAGGACTTATGTTACTCCCTGCCTGAAACTGCATGAAGTCTGTCATTTCCAGATCTGGTAATAAAAATCTGTAGCATACTCAAAAGAAATAGTGAATTGTTTTATGTATGATTGTGTTCTTAAAAGTGATTCTATTATTGTATGTATGGAAAAACCTAGCTATTCTTTTTTTACATTTATTTTACATTAAACAAAAGATGTTTTCTTTTGAAAGTTTTTTTTTTTTTTAAATACATGTATACTTTGTATTTAGGCCTATCAAGGTTTGAAAACATATTTTAGGTTGAGAACATCCTCTCTAGGTAAAAGTTTAAAAAGTTTTAATCTGGTTGCGGTTCTTTCACCAGGTCACCAAAATCATCATCTATGAAATAGTTTTATCGAGCAAGGTTCTTTTGCAGTTTCTCTAATTCTTTGAGTAATAGTTCTAAAAATTGAAGCTATAGAATTATATCTATTTTACCTATTGTTCACCTATTTTACTTTGATTTTAAGTCTAAATTGATGGGTTGAGTTTGATACACATTAAGAAGTTTTCTTTCCATATTCTATGCATTTCTAAATTAAGCATAGCTATTTTTTCAGAAAGTGTGATAAAGTTAAATGCTGAGTAGAAAGTTTATGGTTCAACTGAAATACAAAAAGTATCTAAATAATAGTTGACTTTTATTCACTTTCTATTTTAGGACTTGAATGCTGTTGCTTTTAGGTTTAAAGATAAAGAGAGGCCACGAGGCTATACATCTAAAATTGCAGGAATATTACATGTAAGTTTTTTGTTATTTTCCTTTTTATATTAGTGTATACAATATCTCAAATAGTGCATAGAACTTTAGACATAATAGCAATGAGGCAAACTAATGACCAGATATGTTTCAATTCTTAATTTTTATTATCCTAAAAATTACCATCTATAATATTTTCATTACATAGATATTTTGTTTATTGGCTTAATTTTTTCCATATTTTTATTGGTGTGTTGTGATKATACATAATAGTAGGATTCACTGTAATATATTCATACATACACATGACATGACAATATAATTTAGTCAATATCAATTCCTTGTATTTCCCTAATATATTTCACTTCTATATATGTCAAGTGTTACCTCTGTGAAAACTTTAGATCATCTACTTTCTTCCATTTCCTTTGTTACCACTCTAGTCTAAGCTACCATAGTTTTTTCTTACCTGGACTGTCATTGGCTCTTACCTGGAGCCTTGTTCATCGTCTTGTTCCCCACTGTGGGTTTTTTCCTATAACCTTGATGATCTTTCCAAAACTAAAATCAGATTGTTTCCCTCCTCTATTTAAAGTCCTCTAATAATTTTCCATCAGAATTGACATAAAATTCAAATTTTTCTTTGGCCTGTAAGATGGTCTGGCCAATATAACTGGAGTGAATGGGAATAGGACAGGTGGGACAGAGAGTGGTACAGAATGTGGCCACACGGGGCATGTGTGAAGCCCTGGGTTTGATCCTCAGCACCACATATAAACAAACAAATAAAGGTCCATTAACAACTAAAAAAAAATTTTTAAAAATATTGTATCAATATATTTAAACTGTATCAGCATTTCACTATCAAATTTTCTTCATTACCAAGTACTGTACTCACATTTTTCCTTAAAAGAAATGTGATTTTGCTATCTACACTGAGAGTATATTTGGAGATCAAAAGTATATTGGAGCTGGGCTTGATGGTATATACCTGTAATCCCCATAACTTGGGAGAGTGAAGCAGGAGGATCTTGAGTTTAAAGCCATCCTCAGCAACTTCGCAAGGCCCTAAGCAACTTAGCAAGACCCTGTATCTAAATAAAATATTAAAAAGGGCTGGGTATGTAGCTCAGTGGTTAAGCACCTCTGGGTTCAATCCCCAGTACCAAAAATAAAAAAAAAGTGTATTTGGCAGAATCATCACACAGTATGAGCCTACTTAAAGATGTGTTAGGTAGAATTTGTATGAGCCTACTTAAAGATGTGTTAGGTAGAATTTGTATGTAGCTCAGTGGTAGAGCATTTGCCTAACATGCTCAGGGCCCTGGGTTTGATCCCCAGCACTGCAAAGGAGTGAAAAAAAAAAGTGAAGGAAAAGGATTGAAGAATACAGATTTTTTTTTCCAGTACAGTAAAATTTAACTTAAGAAAGGGATGTGGGGGGGTGAAATAATGGAWTTAATATACTAGAGATCTGTTTGCTTTAATAAATGAAGCTCTATGGTAGCTTTACAAATTTTTATTTATTTACATTTTCCTTTTTCAAAGTATTATCCCCTAGAAGAAGTACTCACAGCTGAATATTTACTGGAAGAATTTAGACCTGACTTAATAGAGATGGTTCTTGATAAGCTCAGACCAGAAAATGTCCGGTGAGTCACCTACAGATTTTACTATTACATTAAAAATTTTCAATAATGATTAGAATCTGAAAATTTGAAATGGTGAATGAAATACTTTCAAACTTTTTATCAAGCATGATTACAGAAGTTGTTGAGAATAGCATAATGAACCAACACCAAGACTCAGCAATTACATGGCCTATCTTTTTGTCTGTTTTCACCCTTTTTTATTCATCATCCTGATTTCCTAGATTATTTTGAGGAAATATTTCTAAAAGTTGAAGTAAAAAGCAATCATAATTGTATTATAATGAGTGAAATATAATACATTTTCTTAGCTTGTCTTCTTTTTTATTTAAGTGACCGAAGTATTAGCTCACCTATATTATATGGCTTTTATAAGTAAGTGAGGGCACCTTTTTCTTTTCTTTTTTGGGGGGTACCTGGGATTGAACCCAAGAGTGCCTAACCACTGGGCCACATCCCCAGCCCTTTTTTACATTTTATTTAAAAACAGGGTTTTGCTAAGTTGTTGAGGATGGCTTTAAACTCAAGATCCTCCTGCTTCAATCTCCCAAACTGCTGGGATTACAGGTATGCACCACCACACCCAGGTGGCACCTCTTTTTTTCAAGGTAAAGTAAGGATTACAATCCCAAAATCCTTCTGACTAGTGAATAACCAGGAAATAAAAAATTCAAGGTTTTATATTAGCAGCATTTTTGCTATAGAGAGATTATTATTCCCAAAAGAGCTTGTGGGCTACCACATATTTCTGCCTTAAAATTGAATTTCATGTGTACAGTCTAAAGCTAAGTGATGGATATGACATAGAGGAAAACAAACCAAATTCAAACTCAGTTTCTCCTATACTTCCACTCAATATACACTTCTGACACCAGGTATGTGGGAGTCTTACGCTCACCCACCAAGCAAAGAGTGCTGCAGCACTAGACACCAGCAATATAGCGCAGATCTGACATGACCTGAAGCTGGATTTAGTTAAATACTTTAATAGTAGAGTATTTCAGTAAGTACAGATAATTATTAAACTTGGAATTTTTAATTTGTAATGAGATTTCTTGATTTCCTAGTTTAAAAAATACAGTAAGCATCAAAATTTACAAATCTTCTTCAGTGAACCAGGCACACATCTGTAATCCCAGTGATTTAGGAGGCTGAGACAGGAGGATCACAAGTTCTGGGCCAGCCTGGACAACCTAGTGAAACTGAGTCAAATAAAAGCAAAAAGGTTTGGGCATATAGTTCAGTGGTAGAACTTCCCTGGGTTCAATCCACAGTCCACTGCCAAAAAAAAAAAAAAAAAACCAAAAACTTCCTTAATGATAATAACTGATGATTGTATAGAAATTAAATCTCTTATTTCACGTACCCAGTAACAATAAGTTATAGCAGGTCTCACAGTCATTCTTGTTGCCAGTATTTTAATTACATATTTGTTGCCTAATCCTTAATTAATCAAGACTTGATTACAGTATGGAAAATCCTATTGAAGAACTAGTAAAAGTTACTGAAAGATAAAGATAATAAAAAGATAAAGCTAATCTTTTTTTGTTTTTTTTTTCCTCCTACTGGGGATTAAAACCAGAGGCAATATACTACTGAGCTACATTCTTAGCCCTGATAGTCTCACTAAGTTGCTCAGGCTGGCCTTGAACTTGTGATCCTCCTGCCTCAGCCTTCCAAACTACTGGGGTTATAGGTGTGTGTCACTGGCCATTTATTAGTTCTTTAACCCTCAGCTACTTTTTCTCCTTCTCTTCATTAATACCCAAACTTTTCTCACCTTTGTAATGGACATTTGGTTCAGCCACCAGGCTGGTCCAGACTGCTGACAGCAATACTGGTATAGCAAGTGCCTCCCCTTGGTCCTCTTCCAGATAGGACAGAGTTACATAGGTGCAGAATCAGTGGGCTATGCTGATCACTAGACAAATTGATGGCATTTACTTTTAGTGCTGACTTTTCTTAACATAGTAAAGACATAATTCTTCCTCATTAGGCCTTTAGGAATTCTGACATAGAGATTTAATGGTATAATAAACAGTTTCTTGCATTCCTGTTTCTAGCATTTGGGGTTATAGCCCTGGTCCTGCAACCACTGTATTAGATGGAAGTGGGGGAACAGAGTATGTGGGGAAGGAAAAAAAAGTCATTATACCAAGAATTGTATGGTCATACCAACCCTTCACCAGCCCCTCTTCCCAGATCTAATAAAATGGAGCAATATCTAGTAGTGGAGACACTTCTTTAGTATACCACTCATGTTGAGGGTGTATACACACTCATAAAGGCACATAAGCCAACCCTTAAGGCCTTTATCACCTCCTATTTTAAACAACCAACCTTTCAGTTGTCTGTTATATTTTTTTTTTATTAAACTATTTCTCTGTAAAGGAAATTTTTTTTTGTTCATAGTTGGACATCACAGTCTGCACAGTGTGTTTCTTAGTCTGAGAAAATGAAGTTCTGCCATCCAAATTCTTCTCCCATTCTGGTTCTTCTGAGGCATTGCATGTTCCATCAGATAATTGAAGCACAGTCCAGAGTTAGTGTTTATTCCAGTAAGACCCATTTTTAGCTTTCTCCCTGCCTCCAGGGCTATCCACACCATTCTCACTTGCCAGCTATGTTCAGGGGCTTCCCACCAGAGAATCTGCCACACAGCCATTGGCAATCTCTCTTTTGCTGGCAGGCAGTATAGTTTCTTTTTCGGAATTTTGTTCTACAAAGTGTGCCCGAGGAACATGTGTAGATTCAGTACATCTCTGAATTGCTTTAGTATTCCATGTCCATTTATTTCATGGGCCCAGATGGTCATCCTAGGTGACACTTGGAAATATCTGCTTGTCATTTCCAGTTGCTTTCTGAACCTGGAAAGGAATTTTTCTGATGGACATCAGAATGCCCTACTTTAATGAGCCCCTCAAGTTTCTACCTGGCCAAAGCCATACAACATCCCTTGAATAGGCCAGTTTTCCATTACCTTCCTGTGTGAGCATATAGTCCAGGTCTTTGGCCATTGTAAAAAAGCCAGTTTAAAAAAAAAAAAAAAAAAACACAGGGGCTTTTACCACTGTTTATTCCTTCAGCATGCAGTTTAGCCCACAAAACTGATTTGTTTTTACCTTCTTCGAGTGGCATCCTTCCCCAAAAAGAATACTCTTCACAGTAGAATGAATTGGACATAACTTTCCTCTGTTCATATATGAATACACCACTAGTGAAACTCCATATCACATATATCCACAAGAATGAGATCTTAATTAGAATAAGGTATACTCCATGTATGTATAATAAGTCAAAATATATTGTCATGTACATTTAAAAAGAACAAATTTTTTAAAAAAGAATGTTCTTCATTCACCTTGAAACTAACACCTATACACTGGGCACCTCTTTGTCAGTCAATCAAGGAACCCAGCTGCTTCTCACTCAGTTTCAGAGTCAGTCCTGGGCAGAAGGGGCTTCCTTCTGCCTTTGAGTGTCTCCTCCCTGTATTCTTTTTTTTTTGTGTGTGTGTGTGTGTGTGCTGGATATTTTTAATAAAGTGAGGTTTACATCCATCACTGTCATGTTGATACAAACAAATATGGTCATATGCACAAAGGAAAACCACGTTTGTCAGGCTCAGAGATGGGAGGTCAGAAGAGGCACGAGGAAACCCGTGTATGGCAGGCAACAAGGATCTGGAGATGTGACAGCCAGGCACAGGGCCACACCAGCTCCCTTCATTGTGTGACCCTTCGGATTGAGAGGACATGAATTAGAGTTCTTTCATTCTGGACTTAAATTTAACCTTACAATTCTGTTCTAGCACCAATTTAACAGAGCAGGTATAAGCATTTCTACCACAGCACACAGGCATACGCTCTTTCCAAACACACATGCCTGGCACACAGCAGCCCATGTGTRTGCTCTAAAAAGGGCACGCAGCTCTGCTAGGACTGTGCTGGGAACAGATGGGAGGCGCCCTCTGTGACYACCTCAAGGAAGACACAGCTGAGACACCAGACTCTTAAGATCAAATGGTGCCTGTGATTTCACACAAATACCCAACCTTCCCCTCCAGTGGCATTTACATATATAAATAGGCATAAACAGAAMCCTCCATTATTTTCACTAAGTCTAAAAAGACACAGTTTCAGAGCAGGTCTAGTGAAGAGGGTTCTAATTGCATGTAGTTCTCATTTTAAGCATCCTCTGTTGTAACACAGAACATGACATAAGGGTSCTGCGAACAACCRAAGTAGAAAACAGAACACTTACRCTGCTGCATCAGAGTGTGGGAAATGACCATTTAAACCTTCAAACAATGAAATACACAACTGCAATTGTTCAGGTTATACAAATTTCTAATGTAGCAGCAAATGATGTTTATACAAAAAATAGACTTTTAAGAAAATAGCTGCAAAAATCTAAGAGTATAAAACATTTAAAAAATATATCTTAAAAGACAAAATATTGCCCCAAATGTATAAGACTGAGTTTTAAAAGTTCACCTATCTAGATTTTAATGAGGTTGGTTGAATGCAGCCTGTGGCTCAACATCTCCGAGGGAGGTGCAGCCAGCACAGGGAGGGCCTGGGGCTGTGGGATGCCACCTAGCCCAGGGCTGAAGAGCCTTCAGAGAGCTCCAGCTCCCAGCCCCGGCCTCTGCTGCCAGAGCCAGAGCCATTGAGTCTGTCCCAGGACACTCTCAGAATCAACAGACTGCCCCACAGGGCCAGGACGCAGGCTGCAGTGGTGAGAACTCTGCACAGGACTGGTGCCCTGCRTTTCTACATGGGCCACAGTATATCAGGTAAGCTCTCTGGGGCATGTGGCCTTGTCCATGGCCCACCAGGGGCCTCAGGTTTCCACTAGGATCTCCACCACATGGTCCAGTTCGGCCAGGTCGGACTTGCAGCTGGAGCCGGGAGGTGAGGCTGCCGAGGCAAAGCCCTCGAGCCCATCACAGAGGCCTGGCTTAGTGCCACCCATCATTCCTGTCAGCACAGTGTCCAGGTCATAGTAGGAATTGTCCACGTCTGAGAACAACTCCTCCACAGCGCTGGGACTTTTGTTCTCCAGGGTCTCAAATATCTGATCTAGAGACTTCTGAAAGCTTCCTCTGTTTTCTCGAGGGTTGCCTGTATCCCAAAGGCTACTCTGAGTGTTCCTTGGCACCTGTGCTGAGCTGACTGTGGAAAGTTCAGAAACTGGACCTTGCAAGGGGTCATC